AAGTGGCCAAGTCACCTGAAGAACTGCAGGGAAGTTAAATTGAATTGAAGCCAGGAAAGAAATTTTGTTTTGGGGAGGATGGATGAAAAGAAGGGATAACTAGAAATTAAATGGCTATATGATGAAGTGTTTCCTGACCCCTAAAACTGATCCTTCCAAATCACAGCATTAGCAAAGCAGGGTAATGATTCAGGCAGTGTTCATGACCATGTTGTGCCTGTCTTGAAAGCTAGTGCTAATAGGAATTCCTGGTAGTGTTGGATACTCAAAAACAGGAGGGCGTGCGAAGCTCTTGGACTGATCCTTCTCTTCTGATGGAAATAATATGGTATAACTTATTTCATCAATTACGTTACTCCTTCCTACACAATTCCTACTGCTTTCCTTTGCATCATCTTATACAGAGTATTACAGCCACTCTCTCCTTGATCTCAACTATGAAACTCCAAGATTCTTCAGTAGGCAGCAGTATAAGACTCTCTCTGTGTAAAGGAATTCAGATGATAAAATTATATATTATTTTCTTCTTAGATTAAATTTATGTCCCTTTGAAATGATTTCGATATTAGCACAATATTGATATATGCATAGCATATATCATGTCTCAGCTCCATTCAGAGATAAGTGTGCGCGTAACTCAAAAGGGAATTCAAAGTTATAAAGAAACATGGATATAGCTTCTCACCTCTTTTGAATAAGATTGCGTAGTCCATATATCTTTCTGGTTACCCTCTTCTCAGCCTTAACATATATGTAGTATCTTTCTCACAAAAGCTGGTCCAAAGTGATCCAAAAAATGGCCTTTACAGATAATGCTGAAATAAATTCCTCCAACCAGGTTTTGGGTTTTGTGGTGTGGTTTTTTTTGTTTTGGTTTTGGTTTGTTTTGTTTTTTTGTTTTGTTTTGGTTTGGGTTTTTTTGGTGTAAATCCTTTAAATGCCAATTTTATTCCAGGGCTTTATTTTCTTTCCTTTCTGATTACTCTTTTCTTTTGTCATTCAGAGTGTGTGAACAAGAACACAGAGTTTGTTTCTATTACAACTTGTTCACTACATCCTAGCAATGTGAAGGTTCTTTTGCAGAAATCAGAATTTAGGTAGAGGAGCTTCATATTCTGTTTCTAAACATGCAATGAATAAAACTTCCTTCTACTGTATGAAAAAAACACTTCATGAATGTTTTGTTGCATCCCTCTGAATCTTAGTCTCTTCTATATTCCCCTCCCCTAGCTTAATTTATTGCCAGAACATTTCATCCTCCCACATACTCTTCCTTCCAGGTCAGTGCTGCATGGCATAAAGTGAACAAATGTGTGTAGTCTTGACAATCTTTGTATGACACCCTGCTTTGCCACCTTCCCACTTTTCAAGCTGTTGCCATTCATGACTATATGCTATTTTACCACTCAGTGAGCTGGTAATTTTGAGTCCCATTGAATTTAGAAAGGGATTATGTTCCTAAATTTCATAAGTTCCACTCTTAGTCTTATCTTATGCCTTTTAAAATAATAATTATTATTAGTTCAATCCTCCGTGCTTTTGGCCATATATTTTGTGTTTATTAGTATTTTTTGGTATAGTATTGCATCTTGATTTGATTTCACAAATATGTTTCTATCCAGAGGAAACCATTTGTCTGCTGCTTTTCTTAATTCCTTGGAATTTTTGTGTCATTCTTCACAGAAATCTTCTCTTTATGTGAATTAATTCAGAGAAAATTAAATAGCATTCCAAATATTTTCCTTTTAGTCTCTCTAGGACTTTTTCTCACAGATCCATAGTGTCTTAGGCCTGTATTGTTACTACATTCCCTTTTTTCCTCCCAAAGCGTTTTTAAGCACTTCTTGTTATTTATACATTCTCTGTTTTTTTTCTTATCTCAGGAGCCAAACATCCCCTTCCCCAGTTTAATTTGTCATCAAATGCTGATCTCTTTTGACTTTGCTTGATGTTTCTGTGTGGATGTACCAGGAAAGTCTGGTGTCTTCATTTTTATCTCCCATTGTCTCCTTCTGGTCATTGAGCTATTCAATTATGAGTAGTTTGCAAATGCAGTAAGCTCGCTTTGCAGTGTACTCAAACAGTGGCTTTTCCTGAACAGTGTTTCTCCCTCCATCCCTATCCCTCATTGTACAGGCATGCAGATGCTTGAATTAGATGTGTCTATTTCTGCTCACCCTAAAAGGATGAAGCGATGGTTTGATTTCTTTCCTTTACTACTTCAGTACTTAGGTACTTTTTCCTCTGGTGTCTCAACTGCTGCTCAGTGTCTCTTACTTAGACACGTCCAGGTGTATTTCTGGTCTCTTGTTTGGTTTAGGTGTCTTGTATTAGTGTGTTTTGCTGTTGCGTATGTGTTCATCGATAGCTCTGAAAATACCTACAAATAACTAAACATAATTTAATTTCTGAGTAAATTTATGTATCCAGATCAGAATCTTTAGTTATTTTTTTCTTCTGAAAAGATCCCAAGTTTTTCTTCTTCTAGGTATCTGAAACATGTTGTATGCTGCAGAGAATCCATGAAAACTTGGATTTTCATTTTGCTTCTGTGGTGGGTTTTCATTGCATATTTTTCCCCAGTGTATAATCCCAGGGTATGCAGGTGCGTATCAAGCTGCATTTTCACGATTGCATTGCATTGCTTTGCATTGGCGTGGAGACTGTGAATGCTCTTTTGGATGAGGTAGTAACTTCCAGTATTGTTGACAGACTTGTTGTGCCAGTCTTTCTGTCTGTACTCTGAATAAAGTTTTCAGGGTGGCAACATCACTTACCAGGCATTTAAGTGTTTTAGGCACTCTGGAAATGCTGTCTCTCTTCACCCTGTGCATGAGACTTACTTACGTGTTACTACCAACATGCAGTAGTAATTTAGATATGGCTGTGTGGATGGGGCACCATGAGGACAGTAATTTCTACTGTTTTCCTTTCAACTAGTCATTTCCGCATTTGGATATGAGAATGCTGTTGTATACTGAGGGTAGATTCTGTGGTCTTTTAGATCCATAGGTGCTGGCAGGGATTACACTGCTTGCTAGCCTTGTTACTCTTCCTGTGCAGGTCTGTAGGTAGATGTCGTATGTGAAATCTCAAAATTGAGATTTGCATCATTGCTGCTGTTCTTCCATTTTTGACTACATCGATACTGTTAATTTTTGCCTCTTGGCATGACTGTAGGTGTCCTTCCTTTTACATCAGATCATCCCATGCTATTACCTTGCTTTTGGAATTGCACAGTTAAGTCCTTCCATTCATTTTGGATAAAATTACTTTAAAAAATGGATCTCAGTGGTTTTGGTGCGGGCTTTTTTTGTTTGTTTGATTGTTTTAAATCAGTCAGGCCTAAGTAGTCCATTTTCTTTTCTTGCATTGCATATATGAACATGCTTTATTTTCTTGTGCTGCCTTGAGGCTGCTCAAAGAAAACAATGCCATTTTTTTCCTTAACATGTAATCGGTACTTCCTGGTGATTAATTTTTCTTCATTTTCTTCCCCTTCATGTTTTTTCTTTTGCCTTCGTGTTTTGCATTACTTAATACAAATTCTCTTAACTTTTCCCTTTGCTTATTTTAATGTCTTTCTTCTGCTTTCAGACTTTGATGTAGGCTTCTAAGGCCATTTTACTTTTTCCAGACATGGATGGCTAAACCCTCTTCCTGCTCCAGGCCAAGGTTGTTAACACTTTTCCCGGGGTGCTCCCAACCCTTTGTGCTTGGGGTGCAGGAAAAAGACTGAGGTGGAACTTGCCTTGTGTACAGCCACGACTCAATTGCTGGTCAGTTCTGAGGGAAAAGCTCTGCTCTCTTCCTCCTTCATTCTTCAGTCTTACATCCAGGCATCCTGTTGTTGCAGCAACACCACCAAAAGGTGTCCAGCAGTTTGGTGCGCAGCAGCTCGAGGCTTGTGTAAATGCTAAGGGTCTTACAATACTTGGTCAACACCTTAAGTCATCCCAGCACTGAAGTACATGCAGAGCTGTTTGGAACATCAGCCCACTCTTCCAGTAGGAGTAGAGGAGATGCCCATGTAGAAGTGCTCTGACAGTTTAAGGCAGCACTGTTGTTCCTTGGCTGTGGATTTGCCTCCCTAGTCCTTCTCTCAGGTACTGCTTTTGAAAAATAAATAAAAAAATCCAAAACCTCAGCCCCATCATCTGTTTCTTATTTGCTGGCAGTTCATTCTGTGCTGTGTGCTAAAATGCATGTTTGAAAGCAAACTCAAGGCAGTTGCTATCTTTCCACTGCCTTCACTGGTTTTGGAGTGGGCATGAAAAAGTGTGGTTCACTGAAGTCGGTGGAAAACCTCCCATGCCTTTAGTCGGCTTTGGATTCTGTCTGAAGTGTTGCTGGTGGAGCTGGGTTGCACCTGGATGCTAGGATAGCTGTCTGGCAAGCTGATTCTCAGAAACCAACAGAAGCCCTATACACATGTGTGTTAATCCTGAGTGTTTTTCTTCAGGAAGTGCTAAATCTTGCACTCCAGAAGGATTGCAAAATAATGAAAGCATTTGGCAAGGGAAAAGGGGAAGAACACACAGGCAGAACTAGGGACATGCATGCTACCATTGTTTAAGTGTAAGACTCTCCATATAAGCTCTTCAGATGGCTTTTTTTCTGTAAGTATCATAACTATCTTAATTGTACCGGAGCAATACACTAAAAATTGTAAGGTGGCCAGCATGAATCCTGGTTGAAAGAAAGTAAGAACTCAAATATTAAAGGTAGAATTTGCTTTTGAATATTCCTGATGAGCAGGAAAGCTACTCTGTGTACTTTTTTTTCCTGTGGGGATAGACAAGTAGCTATCTACTTTTGCAGTTTTCACGTACCAAGTTCCACACAAGTATGTAAATACTCGATTGAAAGTTAGAAAGCTGGAATAATAGACACCAGATGATAGGGGAAGTAAAAACATCTGAAGTATAGTAGATCTTCCAAACAACAACAAAACTTCCTTGTTCTGAAAATAATCGTTTTTAAACCTGTAACTTTCTTAGCAGTGGATATTATTGAGGTTTTGGCTAGGAACCTTGATGATGTGATGGAAATTTTTGATCCCTTCTTCCTGAGGAAGGGAACAGTAAGCTACAAACTAGACTTTAATCAGTACCCCACAAGTAATTTGACTAGTACACGTACAAAAAGAACTGTTTCCAGTGTTTCCTTGTCAGGAAATCTAACTGTGTTGTGAGCTTTTAGAAGCATTGAACCCAGTAGTCCAGACACCAGGGTGCAGATACGCAAGTCAGGAAACCTGCTCTGAACAATGCATCGTTTTGGGCCTCAAGGTCCTGTTCCAAAAGAGCATGAGCCCATAGTTGCTGCCTTTGAGGGAGAAGAGACTTCTGCAGCGGTTTGCAGCTCCTCAGGCCTGTCCTGTGCCAAAGTAAAGGAAGTGGGGAGTCTGTTTCAAACACAAGAAAGCCTTGACATTTGAACAGGTGGAGATCACTATGAGCCCTCATGGTAAGCAAACCTGCTGTAGAAGTGGTAGAAACAAGAGATGATGAATGGCTGCATTGTAATCCAGCCTCAGTTCATGAGGCTTGGGTAGGAAAAACAAAAAGTATTTCATTCATTTTACCAGAATCTTTCATGTTTCTGCCTTTGTCTTTGCCGTACACCTGGTGATGAAGCCAGGGGAGCCCAGAGTCATTTATCTATGATTCTATGAGTCTATCTCCTGCTTGTGTTTTGTTTGTGTGTTTGGTTTTTGTTGTTGTTGTTAGTTTGTTTTTCATTTCTCGGGCATGTACAAACCCCTTCTGTGGTAGTGAGAAAAGAAAGCAAGCATTTTACTCTTTTGAAGACAGGTGGAGAAGTCCCCACACTGAGTGCTGTATAGGCCTGTTTACCTTTTGTTTCTCCGTACTAATTGGTTAGAACGGATGGTGTTAAATTCCCATAAGTATGTCTGTGAGAGAATTCCTACATATCCAGCCTCAGGGAATTAAGCTTTGGAAAATGAAGTACCCATCAAAGCAGGAGGTGACTGGTACAGTTTGTATCCTGACTTCCCCCCCTCCTCGCCCTTGTTTTTTTTTTCCTTCTTCCAGAAAGCTTAAGAAAAGAGCCTTTTGTCTTCTTTTCAGGAAAGTTACACTGAAATTCATCTGTGCTTTATTCGTCTGCTTTCGTTTGTGCTATTCATGGGCAGCTGTGGGTTATATAGGACAAAGCAGATGAATTCCTAACCTCCACATTCAAGCAGTGTGTTGGGAAAAGTTCAACACCACCCTCCCCCCTCCTTTTTTGGAGGGTCCAACTAAAGTATTACAGCTTTCAGTTTCAGTACTGAGACGTCTCTAGACTGTGTTTCTCCACATGCCATTAAAATGGTGTGACAGAGTTCTGGGTTGTAGAAGGGATGCGTCTATACAGACATATCTATATAAAGAGATCTCTTTCTCAGTATAGTGAAACTTAGCAGCTTCTAAGGAAATGTGATTTAGAAGTTTGCTTTACTGGAATTCGTGATTAAATATCTTTTTTTCCAATGATGACTTCATTTCAAACATCGTCAGCTAGGAGAACTTGAATTTAGCTTTTGTGAAGACTGCTTCAAATGTGACAAAGTAAAATTGTATCATTTCGCTAATGTTAACTTTTCATGTGGGTTTCTTAAATAATTCCATGAATGAGTAGGGAAGAGTATCCATTTATTTTTCCTTTCTTTTTTCTTTTTTTCCTTTCAGATAGGCTATTTACATGTATCCTGTGCCAGATCTTAATCTGGTGTAAACTGGCATAAGACATTTGAGAGGATCTGGTCTGATTTATGCACCAAACACATAATGAGCTTTACCTTCACAAATTAAAAGTGTCTTAAAACCAGACTTCTTTTTAGACTACTTTGAATTTAAATCTGTCACTTCTTTCCTCCCCAAATCAGATCTAAAAAGCGTAATTTATACTGGTCACCTTTTAAATTGTAGAATACACATTAGATTAGATTAAGAAGCGCTACACCTCTTTTTCTTAATCCCTTCAGACAGCTGTGGGCAGATTTCATAACAAACATTTTGATCAAACCCCTCTAAAAGCCAATAGGTGCTGGAGTAGGCCTCAAACCTTTTTAGATTTGTTGATCCACCTGGAATAACAACTTCCCTCTGTTTATCTACAGACTCTTCATACTCTGAGCCTCCTGATGTTCAGCAGCAGTTGAACCACTACCAGTCTGCAGCTTTGGCCAGGAACAACAACATCAGCCCAATCCCACTTTCTGGGAGTGCTGCAGGAGTGGAAAAAACGGAAGCCATCCTTAACTGTGAATTTTGTGAATTCTCCTCGGGTTACATACAGAGCATTCGGCGTCACTACCGTGACAAGCACGGAGGGAAAAAACTCTTCAAGTGCAAAGATTGTTCCTTTTATACAGGCTTTAAGTAAGTACTGTGCAAAACAGATAAACTGAACTCATAAGGGGTTTTTTAGCACTTGAAAAAACTTCTGAGATCTTTGAGAGCTGGCTGTAGCTAACAGAAACATGGCCACTGCTGACCATGGAGAGGAACATAGGAAATGCCATGCCAGATCACAGCAGCATCCATGTAATCCATTTTCCTCTCTCCTACAACAGCCGGTACCATCTGCTACAGACGAAAGCACAGTAAGTCCTTGCAGTAGGTTTTACTTGCTGGAGGAAATGGTACAGGTAGTACTTTTACCTCAGCATAGGCAATTAGAGGGCTATCCTTATCCTTAAGTGTGAAAATTTTCTCTTCAAAAATAAGGTCATTTCCTGGTGCAACCAGCATGAAGCATGGGACAATCAAGTGTCCTAGGGAGACAGAAGAATTTATATGACCTTTCTGAAGAAACCTCTCATGTAATTTTATTTCTCTCACCATCTATCTAGCTAAAATGCAAAGCATTCTCTAGTATATCTGATAGCATATAGAGACATTCCAGAAAATCCAATTAGATGTGCAAAATTTAAAAACTTGGTGCTGTGTGTGTTTGCATGTGTATGTGTTTTTAGCTGCTGTTCCATAAGGAAAAAAAAGGCTTATGCACCTGTGCTGTTCATCACTTCCTCCTGATATGCTGGATGCTCAAGCATAATACCCTCAGCTGACATTTGAGGTCTCAAACTTGTTAAGTTTTTAGGAGACTGGTGACAGTAAGCAGTATGACTGGACAAAGGGGAGGAGTTCTCTTGAAGAAAATGCACAAACCTGAGAGAATCCACACAAGAGCAACTTCTAGTTACATGTCTCTAGCCTCTGTTGCTTCAGCCCCTTGCTGCCTCTATGGTAAAATTTGGTGCTTGTGCTTTCTATCCTAATTGCTATCTGTTTTAAAGATTACCAGCAATTGCCAGGTCCATTCAATCTGTTCGTATCTTGCGAGTGCCATTTTCTTCTACCTGGATGAAATGAAATAAGCTTAAATCAAGCAGCATTTAAACACGTTCATAGTTGCATAAGGGAGTAGTGTTCTTTCATGTGGTGTCTCAAACATTCAGGGATTAAGCCTTGCTTCTTTCAGAAGCACTGCATGTTTTCTGTCTTTAAAAAAAAAAGGCGGGGGGGCGCAAAAGAACCCCATACCAATCACCTCTTCAACTCACCATAGAAACTTAAATGCATGAAAGCACTCACTGAAGTTGATAGAAATACACTTGTAGAATTCAGTGATCGCTGGATCGGGCCCAAAGCCAGTTGTGTTAGTAAGTTGCTTTGTGTTCAAGCTAACAGTCTTGAAGAACTTCAAAGAGACTTCTAACTCTAGTTCAATGTGGCAAGCTCCTTAGCTTTTGCAAGCTTTACCACTGCTTCAGGAGAAAATGACCAAGTGCCCCAAGTTTACAGACACCTCTCATTTCAGTAGTTGAGCTTGTGGTGTACAGTTAATTTTCTCTGTATGCATCTCTCTTGCAGCTTTTAAGTATGCAGCCAGTGTAATGCCAGCATGAAATTTTTTGTTCAAAAGTACTGTGGAGTATTCATTCATTCCTCCACATTAATAAATAGAGTATTCTTAGTCTTGAGGTTTCAGATCCTTATAGCTGATGCTTTAAAACTTAACTACTCAGTGCCAAACTCACTGTGAACGCAAGTCTGTTTTGTATCCTGAATCTAAACGTTTTAGCTGGTTTTGGGCTTGTCCTACAAAGACAGAGGTGGTTAAGGATGTTACCTGCCTCCAGAAGTCAGTCTATCCTAACCTCTGCAAGTCCAGAACAGTTGATAGATTTTTTTGAACTTGTTAAAAATTTAATATTTGCCAGAGGGAGTACACTGAATATTTCAGCCTGAAGACAAATAATAAGCATGAAAGATGGGAATTCTTTTGCTATCTTAACTGTAGCAATGTGACTATAGAGCAACCCATGCAAAAGAATAGCTTGTTAGAATGAGTGTTTGTTACTTGAGGATACAAGCCTGCAAATACCTCTGCTCATGTGTTACTCATGTGAGTAGCCCCGCTGAAATGCCATGTGGCACTGTGAAGACAAGGCTGAGTGGTATCTGTACCATTTTACACGACACATCCCTTATAGAGCTGTGACACTTCATCGTTCCCTGCACACTTCTTCTGACTGCTTCCGTCTCTCCCTCCCGTTTCACAGATCTGCTTTTACTATGCACGTGGAAGCTGGGCATTCGGCAGTTCCTGAGGAAGGACCCAAAGACCTTCGCTGTCCTCTTTGCCTATATCACACCAAATATAAACGCAACATGATTGACCATATAGTTCTGCACAGAGGTAATAATATCCCTGTATGTGTCTGTATCTGATGAGGGGAATGCTGAACAACGCCCTTGTCTTTCAGACTGGTTTCATTAAATTTTCCCCTCTATACATGAGAACAAGGATGTTGAATAAGTCATCAGCCCGTCAGTATCTTTTGTTTCATTTCTAAATGATGCATCTTATTTATTTTCTTAAAATTCAAAGTTAGCCAGTGCTGAAACAGGGCAGATTTAAAATTGTTTTTAAGCTTTTCCTCTCGAGAGGTTAACAGTCATCAAACACCTGTTTAGCAAGAGTTGCCCTAATTTTCAGCTCTGATCTAGGCCAGAGTTGTTTCCTGCTTATGTCCTTGTTATGATAAAGGCCTTGCTATCATATACTCTGTGACAAGGTGTATCAACTAACCACAGAGGCCCCAAAATATCCCTTGATTACTTGACTGAATTTTTTCTCTTCAGCGTTCTTAGGATCAAAACAAGAATTATCATATTTTTGTTTTTCCTTAGGACTCCTTTTCTATCTCCACCTCTCCCTTCTGTTTTTTAAGCCATCTAAAAGTGGGATTAGGGGTTTCTATATTCTATTAACTGTGGGCTTGCTAGCTCAGAAGAGACAGCTGTTTGGGCTCTCTGGGCTGGGATTCCTGCCCATAGCTATCACACTTGATGCTTGTAGATGGTCTGTTGGCTGCCGAAATCCAAACCCATGTGTTGGGATGGCACTCTGCCTGCTTGCAGGTTGGGCAGAGTTTCACAGTAGGGTATTGGTGGTGAGCAAACACAAGTTTTGCATGCCATCTTTTTCCTGGAGGAGATCCTGGTGTGACAAGCGCTATCGTAATTCCTTGCAACATAACCACTTTTCAGTAGCTTAAAGTCCTTCTTGTACCAAAGCAGTGAGGTTGGCAGAGTTCATACAAATTTCTGTCTGCTAGCAGGGCTATTCTGAGGGAACATCTGGGAAAAATGACCTGTCAGTGATTCAGAAAGCACATTACAAAGCTGCCTTACTTGGTTTGGTAAGAGTTTGGCAGATGCTTTAGCTTTTACTTCCTGTCTTTGAAGGTGTTGCTGTGTCGGATTTTGCCCAGCTTCAGGGCATACTCCAGAATTAGCTCACGTTAGAGGAGAGGAGGGTTTCGTTAACCCCTGTGCAGGGGACTGTGCGGTTTCAAGTGCTGCTGAACAGTGTACTCTGTTTTGTGGCTGTGCCAGGGCTCCAGTGGACACTGCCAGAACTTTAAAATACAGATAGACAGGCTGAGGGAGAACTCTATGGGCTTAGTTAGGGTGTTTTCCATCATGCATAGACTTGACACTGGGAATGTCCAGTTGCAGAAGTGGAAGAGCACTTCATGAGCTCAAGCAGCTGTACTGCCTGTACAGAGCTGTTTCTGACCAATTGCAAGGAGGTGGTAATCTCCTGGGTAAGTGACACTGTGGATCTGTTCTTTTGTAGGGCTGTTGCTTCAGTTGCACAAACCAACCTCGAGCCTTTGTGCTACTGAAACAAAGCTGATAGCAAAGGACATAATGGTATACCCACTAGAGCACTGGGAGAGGTAAAACAGAGTAAAAGAAGTTTTAATGCAAATGGGATTATAGCTGATAAAGAATCTCAGATGCCACTGAGGGAAGGACAAGGTTTTTCTCTGGCATCAAGCATCCAGGTAAAAAAGGAAGCAGGGTCTTTCCTTAAAGTTCTTTCTGGTGCATATATCTGGCTAAAAAAACCTCTACCGTTGTGTTTAATTGTGTGGCAGCTGAAGCAGACAATTTTGAGAAGATTTAACATGCATTGAAAGAGAGACTGAGAGATGGTGAATGTTGTCTGAGATAGCCTTCCTTTTTTATAGCCATTGCATTGTTAAAACAAGGGCATAGCCCTGAGCTGTGGTCCAGGAAAATTAGTTTTGAGGTAGATGGAGTGGTGCAGTGTGTAAAATAAAGAGTGAAGGGTTTGATCCATTCATAGATAATGTTCCTCCATTCATAGATAATGTTCCTCCTATGTTTACAGATGTGTGACTGTTACATTACTTCCAAGTTGCTGCGCCCCTAATCCATGGTGAAACAGCACGTGCTTGAAAAGAGAGTATATTCGCCTCTTAATGAGTGACTGCAGAAGCTGAGTTTTACAGGGCTAAAGCATTATCAGGTAGAAGACCGAATGCTTAGTGGGAAAAAATTAGGCAAAGAGTTTGCTTCCCATTAAGAATGAGGAAAAACAGGAAGCTTCCAAGAACCTTCTTCCATGTATCACCTGTTTCTCCTCAGTGTAAAAGCAATTGACTGTCCCTGGTGCGGGTACAGATGGAGCACAGACTCATTAGAGGTGGCCTGTAGCAGGGGACTGACATAGCTATGCAGGTAGGTGAAGAGAAGTTTGGCTCTTGAGTTCTTCCTGGCCTTTATGACAGGCAAGCCTGGGGAGAGGAGACGCAAGAGAGACAGTGGACACTTGCACCGTGACCAGCAGAGGTGCTGGCTTTTAATGTAATTTAGTCTGGACAATGCAAATAGTTTTCATTATCCCTTCCAGTACCATTCCCATCACACATTTTGAAACACACTGGTATTTTCCAGGGCTGAATGCAACTTACAAAGATCACTATTGAGTCTACTTTAAAATCCTTGGGGCGTTATTTTTTCTTCTTTTAGCGATCATTTTATTCTCTTCCTGGTACAAATAGTGATTTTGTTCTTCCATTTAATAGAAATCACACCCATTTCTCTTGAATAGTAACTTTAAGATTAAAAAGTCAAATTTTCAAACTCATCTACGGTCCCAAAGGTTTCATTGCTACATGTCCTGATTCCTTGCACGTGGTTGTTTCTGGCATTATCCCTTGTACACACAGCTTCATTGATACATGTAGAACCCTTGTGCTGTGCTTGCTTTTGGCTACTGGAATGCAAATGCTACATGTTCTGTGACTGTAGCTTGGATTTGCAAAACGTGTATTTTCAAACACCCAACATGACCAAATAATTGGTCTGTGTCTAGATAGTAGGACTGTTTTGTTTGTACTTGATCTATGTTAAGGGAAGGAAATAACTTGTATATGCTGTGGTGTGTTGCTGGATAAAGATTTTTCCTTACAACTAAGGGCTGATAGAGTCATGCCTTGAGCAAAAAAATGTATGTCTGCTTTGAGTTACTGTACTGCAAATGCCTAGTGCATTAATGGCCTTTCAATTTAATCTCTGATTGGCATTACAATTAGCCTGAATATTTCAGTCTAATGGATGGATTGGATTTCTTAAACCAAGATGATGCTTTTTAGGTGTTTATCTTGTTGCTTTTTAATTACACCTCTTGTTAAATTGTTCCACAATTCAGGACATGTTTTTGTGAGGCGTATACAGTAGTCTTTGTTTAGACACTGCTCAACTTTGAAGAAGTCTACACGCAAATAAAGAAGCTACCTGTTTCAATTTGTGCATGGGGCTTTATGGTTTGCTCTAATTTTGTCAGTTGCCCAGATATGATAAGTGCATTCTAAATGAGTAATTAAATAAACAGAGCTTTATAGGGGCAAGCTGGAGATGAGAGCATCACCTTACAAAATGTGAACTTCTGGATCCAAATAACTCTGCAAGTTCCAAAACCATTGGTTGAAGGAAGCTCACTTACATGAATACATCATGTAAAAGTTTTAAATCATCCCCTGAAAATGAAATCCTTCAGGCTGGAATTGATGTTTATGCTTATTTTGCTTTTTTTGCGTTATTGTGCTCCCTTTGATTTTGGGAGTGTGTGTGTGTGATTGTGAGATAGTAGGTTTTGCTAATGTGAATTAGGGAATGCTGCATTACTCCAGACTGGTAGATAAAAAGTTTTATACCATCCTATGTTTTAGCTTTTTTAATCTGTGCCAGGTGCTAGAGGAAAAGTGAATTTTCAGATATTTTAATTAGTATCTCTCTTTTTGAAAAATTCACTTGACTTTCTCACTTTTGAAACCAGCTGCATCGCTTATTTCAGTGAGTTCAAAAGCACACAGCTGCGACAACCTTGTAAAAAGTCTTTGTATGGCCCCTGGATCACAACTTTAAATTCTGTTGTCTCTTAGACCATATTCTCCCCTCCCCTTTTTCCACCCTGAATGGCCACAACTTGGTATCTTTATAGCTAGAGAAGCTGTGTTGGTGTAGAAAAGAATGACAAGTCTACAGGGTTTTTTTGTTTTAAGGCATAGCTTTGGGGAGGGAAAACCTCCACTTTTTGAAGTGGCCAAAGAGGAAGTTATGAGATAGGATAACTTTTGTGTTTAGGGAGAAGCTGAGCAGGATGGAATATTTGCTGGGCTGTAGAAAAAGTCTTGTGAGCAGCGGTGGCATGTGGATTGGCCAGAATTGAATGAACAGTGGAGCTTTTGCCACCTTCCAGAAACCCTAAGGGAGTTTGTATTTCTGTAGTTGTGTTTGATGACCCTCCTCACTGAAGAAAAGGGCCCATTGGCTCAGATATCCATCTCCTTTAATGTGCGGTACATAAGGAGTAACAGTACTAAATTTCAGTGTTCTAGTTCAAAAGGCCAGTTGAGTAACAAAAGCCCGTGATGAGGATCTTCTAGTGACCCTCAGCTGAAGGGCTAAATTTGGGGTTTCCCTTGTGTGCACAGCTCAGGGAACCACAGTGATGGGTGTTACGCACATCAGATTCTGGCTTTCTCAAATGACTGAAATTAATTGCTGCTCTGTTAAACGTCAGTGCTTTGTTTGAGAAGTGGAGAAAACTTAAAAACTCAGCAAGAGCATTTTCAGTACATGCCTATATCCGAGATCTGAACTGTGGGAAGCGTGACATGACATGCGTGCAGATTTTGAATCTGAGCTTTCTGAAAGCTGTGGGTGTGTTGGGAAGTTTCTGCCCCTGGCTGAACTGCACAGCCTCTTCCAGGAAAAGGTGCTGCCTTGCTTACCCTGTCAGTCCCCAGAGAGTAGCTTAAGATGTGATGGTGAGGATACCAGCTCTGATTTTTGTAGATCCAGCAGGGTGATGCATTGGGAAGCACCCTGCAGCTTCCCTGTCTATTACATTTCTAGCAGCCACTCCTGGCTGCTGTCAAGTACTGAACCAAAATGGACTTTTGGTCTGGCTGATTTATGGCTAGTTCTGTATTCCCACGCTCTGCTACTCTGACTCACAGATGGAGTCTCATTTGCCCCAAAACCTCCATTCCCATCTTCTATATCCAATAAGCACTTACATTTGTGAGGACACCTGCATTTGTAGCCTTGGAGGATTAACCCTGTCATTGCAGGAGGAATTGTCTTGTGTTTTTTGTGTCGGTCCAGCTTAGCTCCCATTCCTTTATAGACAGACTGCCTACCCATATAGCAGATCCTATTCCTTCTGTGGGTGGTAGTGCCCAAACTAGGCCTGGTATTTCATAAAATTTGTTAAGTGAATGTTGTCCTGTCCCTACAGAAGAACGGGTCGTTCCCATTGAAGTCTGCCGTTCCAAACTGTCAAAGTACTTGCAGGGAGTTGTTTTCCGCTGTGATAAGTGTACCTTTACCTGCTCCAGTGATGAGAGCTTGCAGCAGCACATAGAGAAGCACAATGAACTGAAACCTTACAAATGCCAACTCTGCTACTATGAGACCAAACACACAGAGGAGCTGGACGCTCACCTTCGAGATGAGCACAAGGTAACATCCAAATAGTTTTAATTTGTAGCAATCTACTCTTTGCGAATGCTGTATTAGTTTACTTGCATGTCAACTCTGAGTAGCCAACTTGTTGTTGGTTTCTTTTTCTCTCCCTCCCCAAATCTCCCTCCCCATGTTGGGCTTCACTTCCTCTGTTTTCTATTATTTCTTTTTTTATTTAGAAAATCAAAATTGAGGGTTTCTAAAGCTGTTCAGATTGTTCAGAATTGGCAGACTGTTGCATGCAGAGTATGATTATCTGGAAAAGACACTTGTGTATGCTAGGTTTATTTAAAGAGGGGAAAGAAAAGGGTTGTGAAACAATATTAAGGCTGTGTGATTCAGCCTCTCTAAAAGGCAGGAGATTCCAAACATAAGATTGCTCTGGCAACTTCAGCAGCGTGACATGCCATGCATATTTTAATAACAAAAAGGGCAATACCTCCCCATTTACATTTAACAAGGGAAAGATAAATAGCAAGTATAACCAGGTCCTAAGTTAAGACTGCTTTGGGTTTTTTGTGGAGTGGCTGAGTGCAGACCTGATCCAGTCTTTGAGAAGTCATTAGAGGCTTTCCACAGACTGTTAGCTTTGAATTTCTGTAGTTGTGAGCTCTATAGCTGAGAGACACTTTAAGTTCTAGAACTGAGATTTGTTATTTGTTAGAGTGCTTCCTTGTCACATTTCCAGGGGAGGCAGCTATATGCCTCCACCTGTTGGAGCTGAGCTGCCCAGGTCCTCACTAAAAACTCAGTCCTACTTCATGGACTGAATGACACTTTCCTTACAGCCAAATTTATATTGACAGTATTGGCAGCAGAAGTCCCAGCAAAACTTTTCATGCTTAAAAAATATTTGGCTGTCTTATAAAAACAAACTCTGTAAACTTATGTTGGCCTGCTATGCTTATCTGCTCTCTTCTTTATTACTTTTGGAGACCCTTCTGCAATTCACACGGTACATGAGCTGCTCCATGCCTCCTACTCAACACAGCAAGGTACCTGCCATATCCAGGGGCACTATTCCTCATTCTTTTCACGCAGTGCATCAGGCTGGGAAGATTATTCTCTTATTTAGCTCTCCCTTCCAATTTGTACCTCCAGTGATGGTGCCAGTAGTTTAGGGTATCTTTTCCCCATTTCTCTTTGGTAATTTATGTCTCACTAATTTGTGTCCAAGTTCTGGGCTCAGATACCCAAGTGATGTATTGCACCTTAAAGAGTTCCTGTGCATGAGCTGAGTTGAATTAAGTGCCTTGCATGTGGTCTTGATTGTTTAAATCTCAGTGGGTAACGTGTTAAGTCAGAGAATCTCATCACAGCTGTCTGTACGGAGTAGTGCTAGGAATCTGCATACCACCGCATTTAGGATAGTTTGCTATTTGGAGATATACTACAGTCTAATTCACATGTTCCTTAACTTCATTCACATTCCCTTTCCCACAGAGGGATAAGAAACAGTCAGTGGGTGTTGATATTTCATTCAGCATCTTGCAGGACGTGTTGTACTACGCTCATTCCTCCGTCTCCATCCTCTCTGCCTATGTGGCTTAGTGCCTGTGCTGCTGGAGGGCTGTCTCTTTGCATGACAGATGAATCCAAAATCCTTCCCAGCAGTGATCAATGAACTCAGAGGGCGCTTGTCATCTAACAAGTGTTAGCCCTAGTGTCCTGGTCATGCTCCATGCTCTCCGCCTCTACTGTAAATCTGGACTGCTCCTCTGCTGTTTCTGTTGGATGTGGTGGAGTTCCTGACTTCTGCACCCTAAGCTGCTCTTTTCATACTGCTGCTGTGAGCATTTCACCCTCGGGTTAGCTGAATTTGACTGCTGGCTGAAGTGTTCCCATCATAGTTTGTGTATCAGCTTGCAAAGCACTTTGCAGCCCTTCGTAATGAAAATTAATCTGTTATTAACGAGTGAAAGTGTATGTGGCACACAGCAGCCATGTGTTTAGTAAAGACCCATCCTTTTGTGAGTGAAGCTGAACGAACCAGTAGGAAAGAATTTTCCTTCAGTGTGGATGTGCAATAGTAGTGTTTGATCACAGCGGTTGAATGGTCCCATAAGAAGAGGATACAACTTAAAGTATTTTGCATTTCTTGGATTTTTTTTTGTTTTAATACATCAAAACCAGGAAGAAATGCGGGGGGTTTTACTGAATGTGATTAATTTTTGAAAACCAAAAATGAGAAATGCAGAATAAACAGCAAAAGAAGAATCACTATCATTGAAAAGAAATGAGTGCTAATTTGATTAGGTGACTGCATGTCACCTGTAGCTGAGCAGGCTTTGGGGCGTACTCGATTTTGGTTTGCATATGTGATGATTTTTCTGATTAGCTGATGATGTGTTTCTCTCAAAGGTGAGTCGTAATTTTGAGCTGGTCGGACGGGTTAACTTGGACCAGTTGGAACAAATGAAGGGGAAAACAGAGAGCTCCAGTAGTGATGAAGAAGAAAAAGAAGAAGAGTTAAGCCCCAAGACTGAAGAGCGAGGTCAGTGCAGCTCTTTTTTTTTTTTTTTTCTTTTTTTCTTTTTTCCCTTGGCACTGCAATATGCCCCACCAGTCCCACCAAGCAAGGTCAGCTGTTGAGTCTACAGCACATTCCTGTAGAGCCATGCAGGCATGCCAGCAGAAGCAGAATGGGGCTTTTGTGAAGACACTGCTCCTGGGGGAATCTCGTGTTTCTAATCCTTATTACAAGTTTTCTGTCTATTAAGAAAATACATACTATGAGAAAACACGATAGCATCTGTGACTTATCTGCCCATGCAGATAACATCTACAAGGGCTTGGAAAACTATGTAAGTGGAGTATTTTAGTGGTCTTGTCAGATTTTCTGTTTTGGTAACCAATTTTCAGCTTTTCACTCAGCATTGTTAAAGTGGGGGATGAAAGGGTCCTGGCCAAACTTTTTAATGGAGTGTTATTAACTCTTTGCCCAGCATTCCTTGTCAGACAGAGTCAGTCCTGTTGCAGATGCTGCAGTTGGCAGCTCTGGAGCCAGCGTAGGTCCATGCCCCACCTGTACCGTTGTGTATTTAAGTATGTGCCTAAGTTCGTACCTAAGACTAATCCCACTGATTTCAGTAAGGCTAGGCCATGTGCTTGCTAATGCTTTTGATTTGGTTGAAGTTCGATCAGCAGGGAAAAAATAAGTTCTCCATAAATTGAACTAAGGGTTTCTTGTCCTTCCCTTCCAACAACCTTCTTCCATGAAAACCAGGCTGTTGCAGTATCTGGTGCAAACTGTGTGTTGTCTAGTCTGCTCTGGTGCACAATTCATCAGTCAAATAGAGTATGTTCATAACTCTTCAACATCTTTAGCCCTGTGATGTCTGAATGTCACGTTCTTGGGGTCACCCACCCTCTTGATGCTGACAACCGCAGTTAGCCAAGTTCTATGTACTTCAACTAAAGGTATGCCACCACGTTTACCTTTTTCCTCCTGAATTTTCAGCTTTCAAACTCACTCAGGGGTTGTTCACAAAAGAAAATATGTCTCCCTACATCCTTTCAGACCTTGAAAAATTCCGATTTCTGGATTTACAGTTTGTTTAGAGAACAGGAGGGGCTCAGAACATGCTTCTTACCTTTTAATAGCAAGACCCCAGCATCTTGGCTTTTGTTTACTGTCCCTGCAGCATAAATTCAGTCTACACTTATCACCAGCACTTCACTTGAAGTGTGGTTACTGATAGCTTTTATTTAAACGAGAAAGGAAGTGAGTTGGATAGGAAATCATTTATGTTTTAATGAAAAATATCCTTCACAAGATCTTAGGTAAAGCAGTAGAAAAATTGGAGGAAAACTTATAGGGATGTTTGTTCTATATGCATTTCAAAGTTCAACTTCAGTAACTCGTGTGGAAGCATGCTTGGGTGTCTGTTCGGGGACAGCTTCGACCCTCAGAGCTTCATGGCTGGAACAATGATTGTGTAATGAGGGATAAGAAGTGTTATCCCCATGTTTCATGTGATCCATAGTTAAGCAAGGCATAGTGTCTTAATAATTCTAATTTTTTTATTTTGTACTTTTTTCACCTGTATCTGTGTTTTTTTAATCTGTGACTGGCTAAAATGATTTCTGCATGCTTGTTCAGGTGACCAGTCTAAAAAAATCATGTATGTTTCCAAGTTTGTTTTGCAGCTATTCTTTCCTGACTGGCCTGTAGGGTCAATGTTTCACCATTATTATTTTTTCTCCTTTTTAATGTGTTAGCATTTGTAGTATATTATACTAAAACAGGTAGAAAATGCAGAAAACCCTTATGCCTACTACTGCAAGGGTATTTAGAAAAGATCTGGTTGTATTGACTATATTTTTCTAGACAAGTTGTTGATTACCACTATAAGGTGCAAGATGCAAAGTACACTTTTGAAAAATGTCCCAGTGAGACAGGAACTGAAGGCATGGTGGGATGCTGAGTTGCATGCTGACATCTCCCTATGGATTTTCAGAAGGTAGTTCTAACACAGAAATGGTTTGCCCTGTTAACAGAGGACCAGACCTATGTTTTTAAATATAGCCTGTCACAGTGGCTAATGCTGTCACAGCTTTCAAACCACATCAAACTGGGTAATCCTGCATACCACTCAGGTGCTTTTGACAGTTCTAGCCTTTGTGATGTTAGCAGGAAGTGGGATTTGCTGAGAGTGCCTCTGTGTACTCTGAGTATCTGGAAGCAAATGTTGTCTGAACCCTCTGGAGTCTTTGACTTTGGCAGAACCAGATTTCTTCCCGTGAGTCAAACAGCTGCCTAGATTTGCCACTTCGACTTCAGGGTGGTATGTGCAGTACGGAAGGTGCAAAGAAGAGTGTGTTGCTTCTCTAAATGGGTTATTGGACAGCAGATCAAAGAAGGACTACTGCCCATGTGAACAGGCAGAGCTGGATGGCAGAGCTGGGCAGCAGAGCTCAGCAGAGCTGAACTGCTATCTTGGATGGGAAAGGAAGGTAGTCGTTGGCTGCTGGTAAAGGATAGTAGAAAATATATTGACCCTGGGGGAAAGAAGACGAGGGGGTAAAAAGAGGGTGTCTGGCATACACCATAGAAAGAACAGCCCCCCCTGGTAGGGCCTGCATTCCAGAGGGACTGTCTGTCTTTAGTGACCTTTATGTCTTGGTCTTAGCAGAAACTGGAATCAAGACATGTTTTTCCACAGTAGACAAAAATAAATGTCCATAAGTATTTGTATGTGTGATGCAGGAAAACACAGAGAGTCTGTGCAGTCTGTTACCTCTCTTCTGCAGGCCCCAGAGAAGAGCAGCTTCTGATACTTCTCCAGGGAAGCAGTCCAAATTCACAGCCCTAGAAGCAAAACTGATGGAGAAGTAGGGTGAACAAGATAGGTTTTCTGAAGAGGTGATGAATTTACTAGAATAACACTTGCTAATCTTAAAGGGAGTTGCAAGTATAAATCACGGACTGGTTTGGGTTTGAAGGGACCTTTAAAGATCATACAGTCCAACCCCGCTGCCATGGGCAGAGATGTCTTTCACTAGATCAGGTTGCTTAAAGTCCCCCCCAACCTGACCTTGAACACTTCTAATGATGGGGCATCCACAACTTCTCTGGGCAACCTGTTCCAGTGTCTCAACACTCTCATCTTAAAAAATTTCATCCTTATGTCCAATCTAAACCTACTGTCTTTCAGTTTAAAACTATTACCCCTTGTCCTATCGTTACAAGCCCTACTAAAAAGTCTGTCCCCATCGTTCTCATAAGTCCCCTTTAAGAATTGAAAGGCCACAGCAAGGTCTCCGCAGACCCTTCTCTTCTCCAGGCTGAACAACCCCAACTTCTCCCTATCTGAGCAAAACAACCTCTGTGTTGCATATCTCCTCTCTGCAGGGGCCCAGAATAAACTTCCTATTGTGTGCTATACAGTAGGTATGTTCTTGTACAGAACAGCAGCATTTGCCTCTAAAAACTTTTACCCTCTATAAATATTTGTCCCTGTACCATGACTAGCCTGTGCGTTGTGGTGTGTTTATAAATTTGTGCCACACATGTGAGGTATTAAAATCCAGATGTAAACTGAACTAATGGCATTGACTTACTTTCTGGTGTTCCACAAAGCAAGGTGCACCTTGCTTTGTGATATTTAACAAGGTAATAAATCACTGACAGTAAGAAATACAAAGTGGGGCTTTTTCTTTCAAGAGCAAGAGGCAAAAAATGATGTTAAGAACCATGCCATATAGAACTTTAGTAAAGGCTAACTAGTGAGAAATGTGTCACAAAGTACATTTACAGGACTTACATACGGGTAATAGGGAATGTGTGGGCAATTTTAAGTTGGTAGGGTGATCTTGAACAGAGTAAATCTGAGAGTGAAGAAATCAAGTGAGCAGAGATCAGAACCAAAATGAAGTAAAATCCCGTTTCTTTTATTGTGTAGTTTGGGAGGAGTCAGAAAGACATTCTGTTGATTTCTTGCTTAAGATAATCCCTGCTAAGGAATTAATGCTCTGAGCAGATGGTGCTGTCTCATTTCCAGCAAAAGAATCAAGTGAGATAGTCCATGCAATTATTTTTAATGGTTTGTGTGGTGATCTTCTTAATTTGTGAGAAAATGTTTCATCTTTTGTTAAAGCTGGCTGTGTTCACATGGAGCTTGGCTTTCAGAAATACCATTCCCTGAGCTGCCAGTGACTTCACTCATATTACTAGGTGCTTGACACTTTTGCAAATGAGGCCCCAAGCACTTTGTATAAAAGATTAGGATGGGATGAAGCATCTATGCAGTTAACATGCAGGACTTAACCCATGAGACTTCATGATGAAGGGATATCTATTAATTTTGAAGATCACACATTAAATATACCAAGTCTTTGTTTCCTAAAATTTGTACTACCAATTAAAAAATTACAGATGGGCTTTAGTGGTTTTTTTGATTTTGCTTTCAAGCCATTTCAGCCCTAAACTTCTCAGTTTTGCTTTTGAATTAAAACTTCACAGTCTCTTCATTTGTTGAAATACAGGAACAGGGAGTAGTAAGTCGTTACCCTTATTTGCAGAGATGCTTTAAAACTTAGGATGGGATTTGTCACTTGCAGTGTCACTTTGCTTTGGAGGAGTTGCATTTTCACACACACAGTTGTTTGATAGGTAGGTCCTTTTGCTTCTCAGGGATGAGGAGGTGCAGCAGAGGGGATCAGAGTAGGATCACAGTGGTCCCTTTTTGCCCTGGCATTTCTGAATTCGCGGGCTGTGCTGTCTTTTTCTAGATCCCATGATGTTTCCTGATAGCGGTGCTCCAGAGAAACGCTTCCCGTGCGAGTTCTGTGGCCGATCATTTACAGAAGGCTCTGAGTGGGAGCGACACGTGCTGAGACATGGCATGTAAGTTGGTTTACATTCCTTTGCCAAACAGCCAAATGTAACAGTAGATCTCTGTGCATTCCCCCCACCCCATTCCTTACCTCCCAAAAGCCCTGTGATGAAGGCAAACACAGTTCTATGAAGAACAATTCTGTCTATCACAAGTGTGGATACAGTCATCAGATGTCTCTGCATGGGAACTTACTGCCCAGGGTGGCTGTAGACTGTAGGGTTTAACTGTTATTCTAAAACTTAAGATTGTCCCAAGGGGAATACCACTTGGCCAGGATTAACTTTACCTGAGTGTACTGTTGATTTTGCCTGCCAGAAGAGCAGCATAAAAATGGCAGGAAATTATACGGAATGTTTTAGGAAGCAACTGGGGTTTTTTTTCCCTTTATTGTTATATCTTTTTCACATGCTTGCAGCTAAACTTGCATAGCAGTGCAAGGAATCATGTGCAGAGAAATGTCCAGACCTTCAAGAGAAGTAAAATCAATCTGAATGAACTCCTCCTAAAATGTGCTTAGTGAAGTTCACTACTTCATTTTCATTGTGAAAGTCTTTGCCTTTCTATAGCATTTTGCACACTGTGGGATGATACGCATCACAGGTAAGATAGGCATCTCTGGAACAATCATTTTCTTTCTTTTGATGAAGGTCTCATCGGTAGCAGAGATCTCTTTGCTGACCAGAGTTTCTTCAAAGAGTAGATTTCATTCGAGGTTGCTGACATGTGGAAGACATTTGAATACAATATTGTAGGTTAACTGTGATAGGATGAGAATTATTACTTCTTTTACCCTTAATCTTGTCTGTCTAAATATGAGTACTTGAAATGTTGCAACCTATAAGAAGTTCTATTGGATCATTAACTCTCTGGGAAAAGTACTCTTTTTCTGTGCCTTTGTTTGGTGCCTTGTAAGTCTTGTTTACAAGGAACTGGGGAAAGGGGAGTAAACTTTTAAAAGTCAGAATTGGGGTTCTTCCCCCTCATCTCATATCTGTCCCAGTGTAGAGCAAATAAAGGTTTGATTTCAAAGCTAGAATGTCATGGGTCCCACTGGTAGCTTCATTCCACTGCCTCTCCTTTTGAGCATGAGGTGGCAATGGTGTGGCTGCTGGCATCTACCTTTTTAGAAAGTTATCTGGTTTTCTCCCTTGTGTGGTATGCACAGATTGGCTTTGCTGTTCTCTATATCTCTATATAAGTGTTCCTGTTTTCTGCTGCTTGGCTTTCCAGGGCACTGAACGAAAGCAAGCACAGGACCAGTGAGGACAGCCAGCCAAAGGAGGATGTAGAAGAAACTGTTAGTACACTGCCAGAAGAAAAAGACGACATTGAGAAAATGGTGGTGGACTATTCCCACAACAGTGAAACAGCAGTCAGCATGGTAGCTGCTGACAAACCTCTCCAAGACAACTCGGAGGCCAAAAACGAATAAGCATTTGGTGTGATTCTAATCAACGTACTTGAACAGTGATGAACGGGATGGGGTGGGTGGGTGGGGTGGGCAGAAGGAAGAAACAAAGCTGCTTTTAGGACTGAATGATCTATTTTCAAAGCACTGGTACCTGTGTGAGTGTGTGTATATTAAAGTTATTTAAGTGATGGAATAAGTGGCTCCATTACATCACTGCATTTTTTCTTCTGGATCTTGACAATGGGAAGTTACATTCATCTTGGACTAATGAAGCAACTCCCCGTATTCCTACATTACACATCGTGCTTTGCAGTGGAGACTTGGATTGTTTGTGAATGGAAGCGTCGTGAGCATGGAAGAAGTGGGGGGGATAACTTTTCAACGCACAAATTTGTGTGCGTTTTTCTAGTTTTAATACATAACGCTTTTCCAGACTGAATGCAACTGCTTTAGAAAAGAAAAAAAAAGAGGAAAAAAAAAAAAAACGGAAAACAAAAACAAAACAGAAACTGCTTTGCTTAAAACAGTCACCTGTTTCCTAGTACCTCAGAATTAACCAAGGGAAATCTCTGCATTTGTCAGTACTACCTGTTGTTGTTGTGGTTAAATGTAGAGAGACTGCTGGGCAAGGTGGTGAATGGAGGAAGAAAAAAAGTTTTAAAGAAAGGAAAACAAATTGTGCTTAAAATCCCAGTGTGGGTTTTATTTCTTAAAATACTGTGATTTTTTTAATTATTTTAGTAAAAAAAAAAACAAAAAAAAAGAGAGAGAGACTTTAATTCCTAGATAACTGTTTGTGAATTGTCATCCTTTATTCCAGGTAAGCTGTTTGTTAGTATTCAGTTATAATTTTAGGATTTGATAGATTTCATGTGACTGATTGTGCGGTTTTGTTTGCCACATGTTTATTTTCTGTCAGCCTGAGGTGTTACAAATACAGCACAATTAAGTTTCTCATGTAAAATGAGTATTTCTTTTCGAGGGGGGGACTGGGAAAGGAGACTAGATCTTGTGAATAGAACTTTTTGTTGTTGTTGTTGTTGCTGTTGTTGTTGTTGTTAATTTTAAACATATGGAAATAACAAAGAAGTTTTAACTTTTTTTTAAAAAACTAAAGAACCAAACTTACGGCACAGCTATGCAGCTCGCGGGCCAAACACATAGGTCCTCATAACCGTTCTGTTGCTTGTCATATTAACATCTATCAGTCTCACACCAGTAACTTTTCGTTAAGATTGGCTGCCTTTTTTTCTTCCGTCTGTGGTGTGCGTGTTTTCTTTTTGTTTTGGTGTGGTGGGAGGGAGGGGTGTCTGTTAACACATCTTTTTGCAAGCGGAGGTGAAATAGTTACATACGACACTGAGCCTGGAGAACTACTTTTACTCGATTCAAGATGGAGTTGCTAAGTTTTTCCCCTCCTCCTTAGCTCTCAGCATGAGGGGAGCAGCGTAGAATGAATAGGAACTTGCATACCTAAGTGGCTGATCCTGCACTACTTCTTGGGAGGAAAGCCTACCAAACTCAACAGGAATTTTGCCTGAGCAATGAATACAGGATCTGGTGCCCATGGTATGTTCTGATTGTGAACAAAAAAAAAAAAAAAAAAAAAAGAGTTTCTTTCCAAAAAGTAGAAAGTACTTGACTGAAACCTAGTTTTAGAAATGCATGTGTCTTCGTTTGTTTTTTTTGTTTTGGGGAGGGTTCTGTGGGAGGGGGAGGGGGGAAGATAGGAAGCTGCTGAGGAAACGGGGTCCTAGAGAGCTTCACATAAAATTGATGGCAAAAATGTTGCATTTGTGGAATAAGTGCTACTTGAGAAGCATGGTGTTTTGCTTTTGGGGATTCATCAGTTGTGTGTTAGGGGGATTCTTTTGATTTTTTTGTTGGGTTTTGTTTTGTTTTGTTTTTTAAAGTAGGGAGGGAATGTCATGGAAAAACACATTGGAGGGACAAGTATAAATACACATTTTGTGTCTGTATTTGTTTTTTAATTGGCCTCATTTCAAATGTATTTAAAACAGTTCCATACCTGGATTGGGTGTTTGTAATGGTTACCAAAAATGAAAAAGAAAAAAAAAAAAAAGAAATAATGATTGTGACATGCTTTTATCACTACTTTATTTTTCAAATAACATGTAAATATTGTAATCCATTGGATTTTGTTTTGCTAACCTGTTAATAAAAAATATGGGACCATTATCCTTTTAACAAGCCTAGAATGTCATATTTTTTTTTTCCTTTTTTTCTTTTCCCAAAAATGTATACCTGATATATTGTGGACACACATTTTAGATGCATTATTATGATTCTGTTGACTGTAATGACATAGAATTGAAAATAACATTTTTTTCATTGTTTAATTTATACAGAGGACTTTTTCAGAGTTTGACAGAAGGAAATAATAGCAAAATGCTAACCCATTGGCTTCAGCACTCGGTATTTCCTGATTTTAAAATTACTGCTTACTGATGGGGGATAGGAAGGGGATACTGAACTGTTGCACTGACGGGTTTGTTTTTTTTAAAAAAAAAAACAATGAAAATTAATAAAAACTTTTTAAGAGTGTATGCTTGTCTGTGTAGTTTTGTGTTGGCTACTCTGATGACAGGTCTGTACAAGCGACTGGTTCTGCAATGGGCAGCTCTGGGAGGGAGCAAAGCACCCTTTTTCCCCTCTGCACCCTTTCCTCCCCTATTTCACAGGGAATTCTGGATTTACAGGCGGAGGGGGAGTGGCTTCCCTTAGCTCACACAGGTCTAGGGTCTGCCACATCCCTGAAGAATGCCTTGAATATCCACCAGTCCAACAGCCATTAGAGGTCAAGGGCACACTGCCAAGGTCTGCTGACTCCTCCTGAACCCAAACATAGAAATGAAGGAATTTTGCAGGCTGTCTTGAAGATCAAAATAGATGGAGACAGGCTGGTATTTGGATTATCAACTCAGTCTCTTCATGAGTTGGGATACTGCATGCTCCAATATCTGATGACCTACTGAATCAAGCATTGAGGCTGTGCTTAATTGGAGTCCAATATACTCTCAGTAAGATGGGGCAGGAGGCAGCATTTTTTCCTCTTTCTCCATAGAAAACTTAAAATGATGCTTGTGGTGTTGTCTTGGAATCTTTATTTGCTAAATAAAGATTTTTAAATGCACATTGAGAAGATGCCAGAGGTTTTTTCTGGGTGTGTTTTAATCAGATTCCGTTTCCAGTTTAAGTAGTTTTTTGATTGTACTGGAACTGGATCTCAACTGAATGTGTACAACGTTAAACAGTATGAAAGCTTTGATCATCTGATAGCTTTACAAGCTTCCGCCTTTCTCCCTAGGAGTCAAAATATTTCTCTGTTAAAATACTTATTTCCTTATCCTATGTTTACGGAGGAAAAAAAAAAAAAGAAAAGGATGCATTTTAGGCTGTTGGATGTGGCCTTTTTTCAGTCATCTCTGGAAACATTTGTTCATGAGGGAGACCTACAAATAATTTGCACATTGTAAGTTCTAGCCCAGAGCTAACCTGCACTTTCACCACTTAAAAAGAGAACGGGTTGCTCAGTGGTACGTCGCTAACAAGAATTACATAACTGACGTAATGAAAGAGCTTGGGATGATTTCTAGAGTATTACAGTTGCATTATCCCATTCACCTCAGTGGCAGGATTGTGTGAGTTTGAAACAAAGCCTGCAATCTTCTGGCTGAAGGTTTTAGGTTTCTGACTGAACGTGACTGGATCACTTGCCTCGAGATTCCTGTGCTGAATTGCAATATAACGAGAAGGTGGGAGGGAAGAGGAAGAGGAAATAGTTACTAACATGATCCTTCACTCACATTACTTCTCTGCCTTGCCAGACAATTCCCTTTCTCGTAACTGGGAGCCCTGGGCTTCACAGGGAGCATTTGTGCTGTGGGACAACTGGTTTTCTGCACACACTGTATTCCCAGGCTTATTGTCCTTCCTTTTCTTAAGAAGTCTGGGTAAATGTTTGCCACGTTATTGCTAGCTGACTGCTGGCATTTTCTTTTGGTCTAGAGGTACAGTGCCTGAATGCTCTCCATGCAAAGATCTTGCCTTCATATTCACACCAGTGCAAAGGCTTTGCAGGAGTTGCTATGGGAAGGGAGACCGCTATCTTCCTCCCTTGCAAACACTCCCTGGAGAAGAGTTAAGCAGATAAGGTTACCCTGTGACTCAGAGACCAACGCTGAGGATTGGCAGGGTCACGGTAAGTAAGGATTATAGGTCCAGAACTGTAGGGTTTGCAGTGGAAAGTCTGCTCTTTACGAAGTGATAGAGACTATGCGAAACATTGGTATTTGTGGCCCAGTTATGTTGGAAACTGATGCTGCACAGAAGACTTCAGGTGAACTTAAACAGCAAAAGTCAGTCTCCTGGCTTCAAGAAAATAGCTAAATACAATTACAGATGTTCAGTACATTTCAATGAAAACTGCCCCAGGTTTCTCCACTCTTCCTCACCCTGAAGTCTTTCTTCAATATTTTTCTGGTAACGCAGGAGTTTTCCACCATGAAACCCATCTCTCTGGCTCCAAAGCAGCAAGATTACTGAGTAGGAAATTATTCTGGGTAAGAAGATTTTGGAAAAGGGAATATTTTAGTCCAAGATATGCTTAAGATGTTAGAGAAACCTTTTTTTGTTTGCAGCATGGTTAATTCCATGCCCCCCACACAAACCATTGCTGGAAGCAGGGGTTTCAGTCTGAGCAGTCTGGAGTATAAAGTTTAGCCTTGAAGGCTACAGTCCTTCCAGGGTGCAGCTTGTAACCCTTTTATTGTCTTCTCATCTGTCGCGTACCAAACTGTCCTCAGACAAAAGCATGGGTGCAAACACCCTGTGAACCAAAGGTGGGCCTGGGTGCCATAAGTCAAAGAGCAAGCACCCTGGCCAAAGTCTTGGTAAAGAAGGCTGATGCCTATTTGGATCAACTTATGCTTGGAGAGCCTAGCTGAAGGCATTGTCTTTCCTGCTGCATTTGCAGTTACTTACCTATGTGTGGAAACACA